TCACTCATTTAAGGAGTTACTCATGGCCGAAAAATTTCAAAGGCACAGTTAAGACCCTTAAAAAATATATATAGTGTAATTGATATTTACACTAAAAAATATATATAGTGTAATTGATATTTGACAGAGCTGGACAGTGTTGAATTGTGTGTTGAGTTGCATGTGGGGAGGACTTTTAGGACAAGAGTGTGCTCAGAGCCTATGGAGATCAGGAGCTAAAGGAGAAGGAAAGAAAGCTGTCCAATTGGCTAAAAACACACCCATGCATAGTCTCTAGCCCACAGTCAAGTGAGGAGAACAGGCAACAAATTGGATAGAAGAGGAGTCATTAGAAGTAATGGGGCGGGTGACTGATCAGCGTCCCTTTGGACACACGAATGTGACAATTCCGTATTTTCTGTGTCTCTGGGCTCCATGCCTCTTGGTGCCTTCCCATCCCCTAGAATGCACACAGCTCCTTGGACTCTGGTCATCGATTCCAGCTTCCTCCTAAGGCAGACTTTCAGGTGTTCCTTAGCGGCCATCTCTGCCAGCTGAGGGCCCATCCTGCCCTGAGTTCACACTCTGTCCCAACTCCCAGTTCTCCAGACTGCAGGCTTTGGCAGTGGGGTGGGAGTGAGGCAGGATCGGTAGCTTCTAGCTCCTGAGGCTTCTAGCTCTGGTGACTTGGTAGAAAAAGATGCCACCAACTGAAGAATGGCAGATAGGGCCAGGACTTGGCTTGGGGAAGAGGAAATGACCAGTTTAAGACAAGTTGCATCTGGGCAAATATCCAGCAGGCAGCTGGAAGTTGGAGGTGCTGACACAGAAGTCATCCAAAGGTTCTGCAAAGAAAAGGTAGCAGATTAAGGGAGAAAGGGAATGAGACTCTCCAGGAAGAGTCCAAAAGGGAGGAAGGAGGATGTGGAGACCCTTGGGAGCCTCAGCACTGAAAGGGAAGTGGGGGCCAGAGCCATTCAGGCAACAGGGTGATGAAAATGTCAGGGGTGGGTTTGCTGAGACTAGCAAACCCTTCATCTTTAGGGAGATAAACACTCCATGTGGGACAGGGCATTCTACAAGCCCACCATCAAAGCAAATGTGATTGTACTAGAAACAGTGGTGAAGACATAGCTCTGAGAATTTTCAAATGGGAGAAATATAAAATTAAACTTAAAAGGCCAGTGCTTCTGGAAAGATGCATACCAACTCATGAATAATTAATAATGATAATTAATAGTGATGATCATGATTACTCTGCAGTAGGGTGCAGATTGCAGAGAGTTTTATTGTAGTTATTACTTTTGTAGCTTTAGAAAACCTAAGTGCTGTCTATCTGGTGCAGAACTATCTGATCAACAAGCTGGTTGAATTAGTAAAGCTGAATGATCATGAATTTTCAAGAATTTATTAATTTTCCGCTATTTATTGCACTTCCAATGCATCTGCTTCTAATACAACTTCAATACGGGGTGGGGGGGGATTTGATTTCAAGATGAAAGAATATGTAGTTTATTTACTCTTCTAGAAGGCAAGACAAAAGAAGTAGATTTGTACAGTCTTCTGTAGCTGAGCTGATGAGCATAGCATAGCTCTAAACAGCTTCATTCCACTGCCCCGTTATTATTCTCGATTGCTTCCTGACACTATAAAAAAAATGCAATGGAGAAGAAGTCTGAGAGATGTAAAGATAAAAAGATACAGTCCCTGCCTGTGATGGCTAATGTATGTGTCAAATTGACTGAGTCCTGGACTCCAATTTTATATGAATGTTTCTGTGATGGTGTGTTTGGGTCACATTAATATTTAAATTAATAAGTAAAGTTTGGCTCAATCTATATAAAGCAGATTGCCCTCCCTAATGTGAGTGGCCCTTATCCAGCCAGTTGAAGGCTTGAAGAGAACAAAAAGACTGGCCTTCCCCAGTGAGAGAATTCTTCCCTGACTGACTGGCTTTGAACTGGGATGTCAGCTTTTTCTGCCTTTAGACTCAGAATAACAGTGGCTCTTTTTGGCTCTTCAGCCTGCTGACTGGCTTTACAGAGCTTGGTATTTGTGAGCCTCCATAGTTGCATGAGCCAATTCTTTACAACAAATTTCCTCAGATACGAAGGTATCTTATATAATTACATATAAGCGATAAAGTAATATAAATAACATATAGTATACATAAGATCTGTACCTATTATTAACATCTTGCATATGAAAATTATGTATTTATTAAAATATAGAAATTGTATGTATAGTTTTATAGCAGTATATCTAATATGAATATTCAGTTATTATGTTTGATATGCATGTCTACCATGGTGCCCAGCACACAGACATGGCTCCTGTCTACATGAAGCTTAGCATTTAATAAGAGACACAGATGATAAATGAATAACAGAATAATCACCAATGGTATAGAGCACAAGAAAGGGCATAGACCTGATGCCTTGAAAGAGTCTGTCAGGGCCAGGGCAAGCAAAGAAGTTGAAAAATGAGTTGCACTGAAATCATGGGGAGGCCTGTCTTTCCCATGGACAGCTGTGTAAGGAATAAGACTGAAAGGATGAAAAGTTTGCCAGTCAGAGGAGGGCAGAGCCAGGAGACTTAAGAAACAGACTGACACAGTAGGGAAAGCAGAAGCCTGGCCAGTGTGAGAGCAGCAGCTGAGAGGGCTGGAGAGCCACCACCAGCTCATGGGGGTATGAGTGGCCTGCACCGATCCCCACCTTTGATCCTGGAGGCCGCAGTAGGAAGCTACGGGAGATCGCTGAGCGGGAGAAGTTGAGTGATCTAGTTGGCCAGTTGGGTAATGCAGGCTACCCCGAGGAGGGTACGTTGGAAAGGGGGAGTCTATAGGCAAGCGACCAGTTAGAAGCCCATTCTGATAAAATATTCTGGGACAGAGGCAAGGAGAACCGAGCAATGGTAGCCTCAAGAAGAAGACAAAACAGAGTGGCAGGAGTATTTAGTATTGATTCATCCTGTAACTTCATCCTGTAACTTATTT